AAAAGTTACATTATCACACATCCCTTTACCAAGTAGAGAAAAGACAGCTACTTGCACAATTAATAAACACAAAACAAGGAGAAAGGAAAGCGGTACTAAAGGGACCAGGTCGTGGAGGCCTTGAATGCCAACCTGAAGCACGAAAACCTCTGTGAGCAGTGGAAGCCTGTGAGGGTTTCTGAGCAGGGGAGGATCAAGGACAGAGCTTCCTTTCCAGAGGAAGAGCATTTTTGGCTTCCAGAAAAGAGGAAGAAGGTGGGAGGAAGGAAGTCATGATTCCCTTCTTGCCACCGAGTTACAACTTCACTCAACCTCCTCCCCAACCCCGGAAGCTACATCCTGCAGCAGGCACCTGCCATGCTGCTTTAAGGCCTGCTTCCTTCCAGCCCATGGCCTATTCCACAGGGCCACATGTGCCTGGCCACCTGGTATTCGCAGGCTTAGCCCTGCTAATTACGAGCATCTTGCCGTGCCAGCCAATCAGACAGCAGCTGGGGGGAGAGGGAGCAGGCGTCTGTGTCCAGGCCTCCCGCCTTGTCCTGGAAAGAAGCCTAGCTCCTTCTCAGAGGCAGTTGAGGGGAGAGGCAGAAAAGGAGCAGGCCTCAGCTTCTGGGTCTGGCTGCCCCTCCTGGGAACTTGGTATCTGGTAGAAGCACAGCCTGAAGCCCGATAAACACCAAAACTCACAAAAAGACCAGAGCCTAATTCAGGCTGACAGACTCAATGCTCCTTGAAAGTGCAGCCCTCCTCCCAAATAAACCTGCCACATGGAATTCTGAGGTCCACTGGCTCTAGCATTGATTTTCCACCGTCTGCAGCTCTCAAGTTTGCAGAGTGCACTCCTGAAAGAGGAATTTAGAAGGATAAAGTCCTTCTAAAGTGAAAACAGCAGATTTACCATCTTCTCTACACTGTCCACGCCACACCACAATCAGTGAGAATGCCAGTGTTCCCAGAAGCAGTGGACCTCGGGGTGAAGATGTCTTTGGGGGTGGGGAGGGACAAAACTAGGCCCTGCCTGGAGGGTTGATTAATGCTGCCGGTGACTGAGTTTCGAGTTAGGGAGATGGAGTCGCGTTCTTTCATCCTACAAACATTTCCTTGGGGCCTCTCTACACTAGTCTGTGCCGGATGCTGGGGGCATTTGAGACCCATTCCAGCTCCTTGGAAGCTCAGAGTCTGGCAAAGTCATCACATCTATAAGAAGGCAGTTACAGCCCAGAGTGATGGCTGCAGTAGGACACAGTGTTAGCCAGGGGAGGAAGTGATGATCTATCTGGGAGGCAGAGGTTCCTGAAGGAAGTGACATCAAGCTGGGCTTTGAAGGCTGAATAAGAGGTCACCGGCCGACAAGGTGGGGAAATAAATAGTTTATGCCAAGGCATGTTGGTAGGAAAAAACAGAATATGTTTTCTTCTCAAGATGACAGGTCGTTTCTCTGGTTGGGACGAGGAAAGTGGAGACAACTAGTGGGAGATGGGAACTTTCCAGGTGGCACTAGTGGTAAAGGCCCTGTTCGCTAACACAGGAGACGCAGGAAACACAGTTTCGGTCCCAGGGTCGGGAAGATCCCCTGGAGGGGAAATGGCAACCCACTCCAGTATTCTTGTGTGGAGAGTCCCACGGTCAGAGAAGCCTGGCAGGGAGAGTCCACAGGGTCACAAAGAGCCAGACATGACTCAGCGACTGAACACACACAGTGGGAGATGAGGCAGGACACCAATTAGGGGTCAAAAAGAGGGTGAGCACTGGGAAGACTGAATGTAGGTCAAGGCAGAGTCAGGATTAAAATTCAGTTGGGGAGACTTTCCTGGTGGTCCAGTGGTTAGGAATCCTCCTTGCAAAGCGGGGAACATGAGTTTGATCCCTGGTTATAGAAGTAGGCGTCCCACATGCCGTGGGGCAAGTAGGCCCACACGCCACCACTGAGCCTGCACGCCGCAGTGGAAGGTCCCACACGAGGCAACGAAGATTCTACATTCTGCAACTAAGACCCAATGCAGCCAAACAAATAAATATTTTTAAAAATTAGGTTTGGCATCTGGATGTAGGTTAAAAGGAGATACTTAGGGGTATCAGATTGGCTAGTAGCAAAATAACAAAAATAAGCATGCTTTGCCCATATTGTCTGATTTAGAGCTCAGAACAAACCTACGTGGTCAGTCGATATTCTTATCGCATCATAGAGATGCGGAGATGGAGTTATGGGGAGGTCAGGTAACTTGCTCAAAGTCATACACTTGGCAAGAGGTGGTTGCCAAGGGCTTGGGGAGGGGAAATGGGGAGTTAGTGTTTAAAGGGTACAGAATTTTAGTTTGGGAACATCAAAAAAGTCCTAGAAGTGTACATATGTCAATTGAGAGAGCTGTTAAAACAGACAGCTGGGTACCGTGTTTAAAACAGACAGCTGGCGGCGGCCGCGGCAGAGCACAAGGGTCTCAGCTCGGTGCTCTGTGATGACCCAGGGGGTGGGATGGCAGTGGGGCTGGAGGGAGGCCAGGAGGGAGGGCATATACGTGTACATAGAGCTGATTCACGTTGTTGGACAGCAGAAACTAACACAACATTCTAAAGCAATTACCCTCCAATTCTAAAATTAATTTTTTTTTAAGTTCTAGGGATGGATAGTGGTGATGGCTGCACACCAACGTGAATGTACTTAATGCCACAGAGCAGTATGCTTACAAAGGGTTCAAATGGTAAATTTCATGTCATGTGTATTTCAGTACAATAGAAGAAAAAGAGGGTAGGCATGGAAGGATGCAGGCATTGTATCTCTCCTCCAGGCAGGTAGGGGGAAGGTGTGTCTCCTCCAGCCAGGCCTGCCGCAGCGGACGAGGGGAGCACACTCAGGGGGGCCGGCTCCACTGCAAAGGGTGTGACTGAGGACAGGTCTCATTGCCTTTCTGGGAAAACCGAGGAAGCAGGCTGATTCACAGGCTTCCTCTAGCGTCTGCCCGCCACGGTTCTACCTTATTAGGAAGGCTTGGCTCATGCACACGATGAGGCAAAAGGCACCAAAAAGCCAAGCCTTCAAGCCACTGGACATTTCCATGTCCTTTGACTTGTAATTATGATTCAGAAGAAGGTGCCTTACACGAGTTACATCAGTGAGGGTCCCACAAAATAAATGTCACCCACAAACTGGGTTACAGAGGAAAGTTTATTGAAGAGTCTCTTTACAAAGTTGTGGGCAGGGCTTGGAGAGTCAAAGGAGAAGGGTGCAGTATAGGCAGGACTGTCACCACCCGTGGAGGGAACGCTGAGAGAGCCGGTAGGGGAAGGTGGCTTTGGGTGAGGACAACCCAGCAGGAAGAAAGTTTGGGAAGTGAATGCCCATACCCCTCTCTCCTCCTGCCCTCAGTCTCCTGCCCCTTATTCACCCAGCCCAGCACGAAGCCAAAGGACAGGGAACCCATCAGTGAAATCCATACCAGTCAGCCTCCAGGGCCAGAGCGGGGTGGTAAAACCTGGCAAGAAACTTAAGAGGCACAGAGCTAAAGGGAGTCTGAACTGAAATCTCTAGGGGCCTGGCCAGGGCTGCTGAGAAGCATCCTCTCTGAATGACCTCCACCCACTTTCAAAAGCTGACCTTGGACCCAGGGTGGTAAGGAGCCCTGGGCTCTCACAGGCCTGGAAGGGAGCTGTGTGGTTTTTTGGACCTGCTTACTACTCACTATATGAGAACATTGGCCAGGAGCCTGAACCTCCTATCCTTGCACTGTGTGTACGCTCATTCAGACGGTCTGTTCAGTCAACATCTCCTGAAAATGACTCAGAGCGGAGCCAGGCCTGGAGGCACTGGATAAAGAAATGTGGAGCAGCCCCAGGCACCTTCAGCTTCAACCTGTGAACCGTGCCTAGGGCTGCCCAGTGACAGGCTCTCTCCCTCAGCTCTGAGACTCCAGAGGTTGCTCTCATTTGCCTTCTCGGAGCCTAAGTGCTAAGTCTCTCAGTCCTGTCAGACTCTTTGCAATCCTGTGGACTGTAGCACCCCCAGGCTCCTCTGTTCATGGGCTTCTCCAGGCAAGAATACTGGAGTGGGTTGCCATTTCCTCCTCCAGGGGATTTTCCCGACTCAGGGATGGAACCCGAGTCCACTAGTACACCTGGGAAGCCCACCTCCCCCGTAATATGAGTCAACCACTTTCTTCCCCAACAGTCGGCCTGAGAATTCAAAGAGAAATTATTTTTTACAAAACAGGAGGCACTGGGCCAGGCATGGAGTAAGTGCTCCAAATTTGGGAATCAGTGTCCTTGTTAACAATCACCCACTGCGCCTCCCTCATTCACCACCCTCTTTCCTGGTTTTGCTGCTGTTATTGTCCTTATACCACACTTGTATGTTGGGGGTGTGGGGCTCTTTTCTGGCTCCTCCCTCAATACCCATGGCTTTGGGCTGAGTTGACAATTGCCAATATTTATAGTGCCACTGACATGCGCTTAATCCGGAAGACAGCCCCGCTTAGAAGGCAGCAGTACTAGGCCCATTTTATAGATGAAGAAATTGAGCCCAGAGAGGTTAAGCCCCTTGCACAAGGTCACAGAGTCGAATAGCAGCAGAGTCCGGCCCTCAAATCCGGCGCCAGACCGCGGCTACCGCAAGGGTTGAGGGAGGGAACGAAGCCACCAGTCAATCATAATCGCAGGGCGGACGCGCGCCCGTCCCTTCCCCCGACCGCGGGGGCGCAGCGCCGGGACAAAGGCCCCGCGGCGGCCGGACGTCGGCCAGCCGGGTCCGCGCGGGGGGCGGGAGCGGGGGGCCGGGCCCTTTAAGCGGGGCGGGCCGGCGGCGGGCCGGGGGCGGGCCGGGGGCGGGCCGGGGGCGGGCGGCGGCGGCTGTGGCCCGGCCGGAGGGCGCGCGGAGCGAAGGGCGGCGGCGGCGGCGGCAGCTCGTGCTCGGCCAGGGCTCACGATCACGCCCGGCCCCTGGTTCCCGGCCCGCGGCGGCGCGCCCCTGCATCCCCCGCGCCCGACCCCGGCCCCGCGGAGGAGCGGCCATGCCGCCGCGGCGCAGCATCGTGGAGGTGAAGGTGCTGGACGTGCAGAAGCGGCGGGTGCCCAACAAGCATTATGTGAGTGCCGCGCGGCCCCACGCCCCCTCGAGCCCGGGCCCCGTCGGGGGCGGCCGGGAGCCCCCCGGCTCTGAAAACTTCTGCCTCCTGCTCTTTCTCCCCCACCGCCCCTGCGCTCCCCCGCCGCCCTGCTGCTGCGCGGCCCGGGTCTCTCCCGGCTCCTCCCTCTCCCCCTCCCCCTCCTCCCTTTCGCTCTGTTCAGCTCCTCCACCCTGTCCTCGGGCATCGCCCCTCGTCGCCTCTTAGCGTGCCGTCTCCCCCTTTCTCTCTTGCTCTTGTCCACCCCCCCCCAGTCCCTTCCTTCCCATCCGTGGAAAAGTCTGGCCCCAGCCGGTGTAGGGAACGAGGGGCTGAGAGAGAGGCTCCTGTTCTCAGGCCGCCCGCCCTGTCCCTCCTTGTCCGGAGGCGCTCACACCCGCAGTGCCCAGCCACAGGTAGCCCCGCTGGGGATCGCCAGGTTGGCCCCGTCCTTCTGGAAGAGGCAGCCTGAAATCTCTGAGGATGGATCCTTCCAGTGCCTGCACCATGAAACGTTTTTTTGTTTTTTTTGTTTTTTTTTTTGGTCCCTTCTCTCCAATAACTTCTGTTTAAAAATGTATGAAAGTTTTTTCCTGGTATCTCCCTGACAAAATGAGAACTTGTTTAGAGCTGGCGAGGACTTGAGAAAATGGGCCAGTGGCCTCATTTTGCAGATGGGAAGGCTGAGACTCTGGGAGGCATTGGGTTCTGGAACAAGGCTGAGCTGGGTTTGGTTTTTCCCTGCTTCTGGAAGATGTGCCTGCGGTAGACGGTGACCACCCCCCCCCACCCCCAGATGGGAATGGGCTCCCTCACCAGCCTAGGAGCTCAATCTGAGGGTTCAGAGGGCCCTCGGAGGGCCTCAGAGATTCTAGTTAGGGGGCTAGTGGGGCTGGGGGGTGTTGGGCCCCGGTGAGGCCCTGGGGAGGCCTCTCTGCAGGAGGGAAGGGGGCTGTGGTGTCTCTGGTGGTGAGAAGGGGGCAGTGGCAGCGCCTAGCTGCAGAGAAGTTAACCAGGAAGGGAAAAAAGAGCAAGAGGGAGGGGGAAAAATCCTAACAAAGAAGTGTAGAACAATAAAGAGCAAGGGGCGTTGGCTGGCTAAATTCAGCTTCTTGATATCTCTGCAAGTCCTCTTTGGGTCTCTTTTCTTAAGAGGCTCCTTCTTTTAAGACAGATCTACATGCCCTCCATGGATAGTCTACACAATTCTGAAAGGAGATAGCCCAGAATCCACTCTGCACTCCCTATGAGAAAGGGTGTGCTGTGTGAGCCTGTATTGTTATTGGCTGGGCAGCCAGTTATTCAAGCCTTAGCCAGGCGGTGGGAAGCTATTTCCTGGACCTGTGGCATCTTTAAATAGAGTGAAGTTTCCCTTGATTCCAAAGCTAGGTTAAATTGTCTTTTTTTTAATTCCTTTTTTTTTTTTTAACTGTTTCAAATGCTGCCAAGTCTTGGTTTCTTGTTTGAGCTTGTTGACTGTGTAACTGTGTTGCCTCTTTGGTATAAAGACAGTTTTTACCAATTTGGCAACAGGAGGAAGTCTGAAAGTCCCCATGCTGCCTTCCCCCAGATCCGTGAGCCTGGAACACCAGAATACATACAGCCACCAAGAACTGGGCATCATTGTCCACTCTCCTGTCCTCTCCTATCACATCAGGTGCAGGTTCTTAATTAAGCCGACTTGACGGATGAGAAAACTAAGGCTCAGAAAGGTGAGGGCCTATGCCTGAGGTCACAACCAGGGCCAGAGCAGGAATGTAAACCCAAGTCTATTCAGCACCTGGAAGTGTTTTCTACCAGGCCACACCATTTTGCAGATTTCATGCCCCGTAGTTTCCCTAAGCAGATTCCCCTCAAACACTAGGAAATCTGCCATCATTTGTGATCACTCTGAGGCTTTTCATTCTCTGCTTAGATCCCTCCCTGCCAGTTTTTTGGAGGTTGTGCAGCTCTGAAGGTCATCTTTCTAAGCCTACAACCACTTTTTGGGGGCCCCTTCAGATAAATCTCTACATATTAACATGGATTTCGGGTTAAATCTTGGCATCACAACTTGCTAGCTGTGTGACCTTGGTTTCCTCATCTATGAAATGGGGGTAATGGTGCCCACTTCTTAGGGGAGAGACCTTGTGACTGGCAGGGCTGACATTCCATAACTGCTAGCCACCCGCCTCCCTGCTCCATGGTATCCATGTCACTCTGGCTGGGAACGTGCCGACATCATGTGAGGAGGGTTTCACCGAGAATTTGTTTTTCTGCATGTGGGTTTAGTCACTCTTGCGATTCAAAAGGGCCCCCTCCCTCCCAGCCAGGCTTTTGGGTTCATCAGATGAAGAGGGGCAGCAGGTTGAACGGAAGCCTGAGTCATCCACGGGAACAGAGAAAATTAAGTGCCTTGATGGCAAGAAACCCACCAGAAACTGCCAGTGATCCCCACTCATGTTCTCAGGTCATATACCTGCCTCCGTCCCTCTGGAAGAACTGGGGTGGAAGTAGCTGTTGGCTGAACCGGAACGTTTTCCGCACTAGTACCCTCTCATCTGAAGTTGGCCCAGCCTCTCTGGAGAGAGACCGTGGGCAGGGGAGTGGGACAGCCGTGGGCTCCGCCGCTTTGGGCTGTGTGACCTTGAGCTGGTTTACCTCTGTGCACCTCTCTGAGGCCCAGCATCTATGTCTGCAAACTGGAGATACTGCTTTCCTCTAGAGCAGAGTTTCTGAACCTTTGCACTGTCGTTATTTGGGGCCAGATCATTCTTTGTTGTTGGGGGCTGGTCCTGTGTATTGTAGGATGTTCAGCAGCATCTCTAATTTCTACTCCCTAGTTGCCTGTAGCATCCCCCTCCCTAATTATAACAACCAGAAATGTCCCCGCACGTGTCCCCCAACCTTTAACCCCCTGCCCCAACCACTCCATGAGAATATCCAAGTCAGTTACGGAGGGCTCCCCACCACCTGCTGCTCCCCATTTGCAGCTGCTTTGATCTCCACTGCTCATAGCTCAGTTGCCTGAAAAAGAAAAACTCATAGGTGCTGTAGATCTCCAACTGCGCCTGGAGGTTAGGGCTGCCCGCCAGGACTAGGCTGCTTGTTCCACCTGAAATGGCATCTTCTCCATGATCAAGGTTGTATCTTTACCAGGCCTGGTCCCAGCCACCTTCACCTTGTGGGCAGAGACATCATCACTGGGCCCAAGGGCAGAGTCGTAAGCCACATTTGGAGAATTCAGGGACAGAAGTTCCCAGGGCCCCTGAGATCCCAGTGGGTGAGTAGGGATCATTGTTGACAATGGTATCAACAGTATTATCATTTGGAGAGGACTTCCCTGGAGCCACTGCCCTCTGGCTCTGGGCCTTTCTCTGCTGGCCTCTATCCAGGCTTTCTGAATGAATGGAAAGGGGGCTTTCACATGACACCCTGGAGACCCTCCCAGCTAGGTTATCTTCCAGCTTGGGGGGAGAAGGATGTGCTCCCTGTAGGTTTTGCAGGTTTTGTTTGAATTGCCCCAGTCCCAGCACTGGAGAGGGATGTACAGAAGCCTTGGGGTTAGGAAAAAGTCTCTGTTAGCAGGCTCAGGAGACACTGGCTTGCTCTGTCTTGAGATCTTTAGGTGTTAAGAAGAACAAGATGCTCGGAATAGTTATAGAAGCAATAATCTTCACAGCTGAACTTTAATCTGTTGTTGTAAGCCAGGCAGTAGATGAGCTATCTGTGTACATATTTAGTCATCACAGTGGTCCTTTTAAATAAGTAGTTTTGCATTATACTAATACATAATTTTAAATATACAGATACATAGAATAAGTTAAATATCTCTCTCCCATCCAGCTGTCAGATCTTTACATTTTGCCGTATTCAAGTCATTTTTATTTTTTAGGAAATAAAATATTGCAGCTGCAAAGCCCCCTGTGCAATCATCCCAACAAGCTCCCCTACAAACCAAAACACAGTATCCTACATTTGGTGCTTGTCATTCCCGTGCACGTTTTAAAAATAACCAACAGACATGATTTTTTTAATTCACTAGCTTTATTGAGGTATGATTTACATACTGTAAATTCAACCATTGTAAGTATACAGTTGGCTTATTTTTTAAAGAAATGTATAGAGCTGTGCAGCCATCATCTCAATCCAGCCTTATCATGTCTCCATCACCCCCAGAAAGATCCCTTGTGCCCTGTGGCAATCACTCCCCTTGCCACCGAGGCCCCATGTACCTTTTAATGTTCTTACCTTTTCAACACTCCCCAGGATCTTACATGAAAAGTTTTGAAACTGTACAAAAACATACTTTTGAGATCTATGTTGGTATATGGAGCTCCAGTTCACTTCAACTGCTGCTTCATATTCTATTTATGAATGTGTCTGTGCTGGTTCGTGCTCCTGGGGGAGACTCTCAGAATGCTGGCTTTCAGCGGCTTTGTGCACACAGCTCAGTCGGTCAGACCCCGGCTCAGACCCGGCTTCTGGGTCCTGGGCTTCATGCATTTTCTCGTATGCACTCCGTGTCCCTGGGAGCCGTGTCTGCGCGTCACTCTGCTCTGCATCCTTGCTGACACTCTGAATTGTCAGACTTCTTGTTGTTGTTTAGTTGCTGAGTCGTGTCCGACCTTTGTGACCCCGTGGACTGCAGCATGCCAGGGTTCTGTGTCCTTCACTATCCCCTGGAGTTTGCTCAGGTTCATGTCCATTGAGTCAGTGATGCCATCTAATCATCTTACCCTCTGCTGCCCGCTTTTCCTCCTGCCCTCAATCTTTCCCAACACCAGGGTCTTTTTCAGTGAGTCAGCTTTTGGAATCAGGTGGCCAAAGTATTGGAGTTTCAGCTTCAGCATCATCAGTCCTTCCAATGAATATTCAGGGTTGATATCCTTTAGGATTGACTGGTTTGATCTCCTTACCATCCAAGGGACTCTCAAGAGTCTTCTCCAGCACTATGATTCAAAAACATCAGTTTGGTGCTCAGCTTTTATAGTCCAACTCTC